TCCTCGGTGTTCTCTGAACTTGGCTGTTTTCTTGCAAATGTTTCATTGCCCATCTAGGTAACATCATCAGTCCTAGCGTAAATGACTTCTAGTTTGGCAATGAAACGTCTGCAAGAAAACAACCAAGGTCAAAGAACACCAAGGATCACACCTAAAGAAGAGCTAGGAAAGATTTTCCCTCTACAAAGAATGAACACCAGAGGGAGCTGCTCCAGGCCAGGAGAACTTGCAACCATCAGTAACTGCAGTAGCGTTTCCCAAATGTGAGTAAATTATCTAAAATTAGATCAAAGTGGGTTTTTTTTCCTTTGGGTAATGACATGTGAACCCAATAACCATAGAGAAATTTAAATTGAATTAAAGATTGCCACGTGTATATGGAGCTTCTCAGTCATCCAGGTCATGGTTGTCTCAAAGGCACTTTTATGAAGAGGCAACTGGATTTTCTTGTTTTTCTCGGAAGACGTTTCGCTTCTTGTCCACGAAGCTTCTTCAGCTCTGACTGGATGGTGGATCCTTCCATTCCCCACCATCCAGTCAGAGCTAAAGAAGCTTCTTGGATGTGAAGCAGAACGTCTTCAAAGAAAAACAAGAAAGTCCAGTCGCCTTTTGGGATTGCCACGCATACGAAAATCTATTCGAAAATCTCCCAAAGCATTCCTATGGCATTAAGGTTGAAATTGTTGAAATTGCCAATGGTCATTTGTTGAAATGACTTAAAGGTTATTCAATGATATTGTTTTTATATTACAGATAGTCCTCGAGTTACGACCATTCATTCAGCAACAGTTCAAAATTACGACGGTGCTGGAGGGACTTTTGACCAATCCTTAAAGTTCTGTCAGACTTTCTGACAAATGGTTTGGGGTATTTGAAGAAAACATTTGGGAAGAACCAACCGAGAGCAACCCTCAGTGCCCAGAGTGTTCTTGAGAGTTTGCTCGCCGCACCCCTGTATGCTTTGCTCCTTGGAACTTTCCAGTCCTTTTTCATATATTTCCCTTCACAAAGTGTCCTTTTAACAATGTGAACTTTGGTTTCCTGAGCAATAATGTCAGTTTCTCCATTCCACTTTGTTTTCTAGGACACTCCCTTGTTTCTGGCCTTTGTCCCCAAATATTCTTTTGCTCTGGAGAAAAAAATGTGGAAGGTGCTGCTTTTAAAAATGTTTACAGAGAGCAGGGATGAACTTCCAGATTTAATTTCCAGCTCTCTGGAATTAATATAAAAATCAAACTAAAATTCAGCAAAAGGAAAGGGAGGTATTGTGAATGTGACCACGATGTAGGTTTAGTTGCTTTTCTTTTACTTTTTTTCCCCTTATCCCATGCCTCTAATTTCATTGGCTATTTCAGCTTTCTATTCTACATTTTCTATTTACCATAACTGATTTCCTCATTTGTTTGCATCTGAGGTAGACTGCCTCTGAATACTGAAGTTCCATTTAGCTATAATGATGAACCTGTGAAAAGCAGGGGTGATCCCCAAGCTGCATCATCTGAGGTAGACTGCCTCCAAATACTGAAGTTCCATTCCCTTTAATTAGGAACTTATGGAAGGCAGGGACCTTCTTCTGAAGCTGGGATGTCCTTAGAGGGGTCAAAAAAGTGAAGACGAAGGCTACAACCTTATGAACAAAATCCTGCCCCCTTTTTATGTGACTCCTTCTGTGGTCACCTGAAAGAGTATCCAACTGCTGTTAGCTGAATTATTTGCAGGACTGTCATTATTTCTGCCTGTCCAGTATGAACTGAGAGGGTCACCACGCACATCCCTGAAGAGGAGACTCCAAAATACAAGGCACACATATGAAAGAAAAATGGAGGTTTCACTTTGGTCTAGTCCAGTGATGGCTAACCTTTTCAGCTTGGTGTGTCGAAAATCGGGAAAAAGTGTAGCCTTCCTCGGGTCATGTGTCACTTCAAGAAATATCAATAATTTGGTTTATGACTGACTGGGCTGGGGTGATCACACAGGGCTGTGAAACTCGTCTCCCTGGTCTCAGGGCTGCAGGTGCAGGATGTGGGGATCGGAAGGCCACCTTACAGGGCTGTGAACCTCATGGATCTCCTTTCCTCCTGTAGCGTTCCTGAGGTAATGAAACTGACAAACCTCAGTTTATGGCGGTTAAAACTGGTTCTCTGCTGCAAAGATCTTGCGGCAGCGGTGACACCACGCCTCCACGCAACAAGCAGGGAGCAGGGATTGGAGCAGAGCACAGGCAGCCTCTAAATGTGCAGGTTTTCCCCACACCAACAGGCGTGTCAGTCAAAGTGCCTCGGCGTGTCACGAGTGACACGCATGTCATAGGTTAGCTATCACTGGTCTAGTCATTAAAAAGAACAGGTTAGAAAGTGGGAGGCACTGAGCTCTTGTTGTGTCTTAGTTCTGCTTTAGGCACGGAAACAGCTAGATGGTCTTAGGCCAGGCACTCTCTCTTAGCCCTGGGAAAAAAGAAGGCAAGTACAAGCATTTTCTGAAAAATGTAGAAAATAAAATTGCAGGGATTTGTCCAAGCAGTCAATAGGCATCAAGACTGCTGCAAAGCCAATAATAGTAAAACGTGATTTGAATGTAATCCCAAAACACCCAAAGCACCACGTAAACACAATCAGCATTGACAAAATCCTCACCAAAAGACAGCTTTTGCAAAAGGCAGCTTTTCTTTAACAGCTTACATCCTGTGATGATACCTTTAACTTCATCAAACAACAATATCTGCCTATCTCAGGTTTTTGGAAGGACTCATCGGTGAACAAAAGTACCAAAACCAGTGTAAACATGTGTCCGTGTGACCAACCATAATAATAATAAGATGTTTGAATTTGTGCTTCCAAACTGGGATTGCAGAGCCACCTCTGTGCCCAACTGTTTGTTTTCTTCAAATCCAAAAGACTTAATAATATGCAATTTTCTGTTATATATGCATTCCTAATTTCCAATGTAGGCCACCAAAATATGAAAAAGGCCAAATTTGTGTTTCTGAGGGGAAAAAAGCCCTGGCTGTGTTTTTACCCTGGGACTCCATCTAGAGTCCAAAGAGGGAAATGCAGGGAATTGCCTTCACGTGAAGTGTTCCTTTTTTTTCTGAAGGCTCTTCTTTTTATAATCTATCTGGTCATTGATTCTTTTTACAATATTACTCCCATTCTTCTTAATGTAAGACTCTCTCCTCCAAATCTCTCTTTGGATGTTGACAGTCCTGATGATCTAGAACAGGGGCCTCCAACCTTGGCAACTTTAAGTCTGGAGGACTTCCATTCCCCAGATTTGCTGGCTGGGGAATTCTGGAAGTTGAAGTCTGCCAGGCTTAAAGTTGACAAGGTTGGAGACCCCTGATCTAGAATGCCTTTTGAGCTGAAATGTTTGGAATCTGTTCTTATTCCTTTTTTATTTTATGTTTCTAGGTTTTATGATACAATGCCTGCAACTTTTCACCTTAACTGAAGAGGGCATATCACTGAGCTTATCACTAAGAGAGTTTATCATTGAGACCATTTGCACCAAGACAAATTCCTTGTGTGTCCAATCACACTTGGTCACTAAAGAATTCTATTCTATTCTATTCTATTCTATGGTGGGATTCAATTTTTTTTTTACTACCGGTTCTGTGGGTGTGGCTTGGTGGATGTGGAAGGGGAAGGACACTAAAATCTCCAGTCAGAGGTGGGATTTGCCAGTTCTCCGAACTACTCAAAATTTCTGCTATCGGTTCTCCAGAACCGGTCAGAACCTGCTGAATACCCCCCCCCCCCTGATTCTATTCTATTCTGTTCTATTGTCTTGTAATCTTCAACTTATGACCACAATGGAGCCCAAAATTTCAATCGCTAAGCAAGACAGTTGTTAAGTGAATTTTGACCAGTTTTACGATCTTTCTTGCCACAGTTGTCAAGTGAAATCACTGCAGTTGTAACATGGTTGTTCAGTGAATCTGGCTTCCCCACTGACTTTGCTTGTCAGAAGGTCTTCCTTCCCAAATCAAGATTATCCTTCAAGGCAACTGAGTTGGGGGTACTGTGCCTTACTGTAGCATCTGCCTTTTCAGTCCTTTAGACCCCAGAACCACTCTACATTTAAGTAACACCGATGCCCCCATTATAACATCTTGATTTTACAAGGTTTTTAAAAAATATTTTAATGACTTATCATATTTTAATATTAACTATGCTCAATGAGGGGGTATGGTGGCTCAGTGGTTAAAAAGACACTGAGCTTGTCGGTTGGAAAGCTGACAGCCTGGGTTCGAGACCCAAGTGTTGCACGATGGGGTGAGCTCCCGTTACTTGCCTCACTCCTGCCCACCTAGCTATTCAAAAGCAAGTAAATGCAAGCAGATAAATAGGTACCACTTCGGTGGGAAAGTAACAGCATTCCATGTTCCTTTGGTGTATAGCCATGCTGGCCACATGGCCACCGAAAACATCTTTGGACAATGTTGGCTCCCTTGGCCAAGAAACAGGGATGAGCATTGCACCCTAGAGTCAGACACGACTGGACAAGGGAAACCTTTACAATTTTTATGCACAAAGATGTCAGTTCTTTTACTCAATTTCTAAGTTTTTGTTATGCAACTTAGAATTTACGGTTCTTTGGATGTTAATATGGTTTTATTCCCGGTTTTATCTCAGGTTTTTTTTTTCTTTAAATGATTTTTAAAAGTTTGGTAAGTTACCTTGAGTAACTTTTGCTGTCAGAGGAAAAAATTGTCCTTCTGACATGAAACTCCTGCCAATTCTCCCTTTGTTAAGAAAAATCTTCCTTCTTCTTCAATGTAACAACTCTGAAAGGAGACACTGTTTGCTTTGCCCTGATTTGCTTTTGACCCACATTCATCTGCGATTTCTTTTCCCATCTTGTTTCCTCCTTCCAGCTTCTCTCTCTTACAGGGAGGAGACAATGTGAAGAAGTATCTGTCAAGGAGTGGCCATGAGACGGGGAGTTTACCTGGACAGGTGTGTGCTGATTCACTTTCCTTTTCCTCCAGTTCCTCAGTTTGACTCGGAATCTCAGTGGATGCTGGTTGCGTGTAGCACTGGAGACCATGTGGGCTTCAAGAAACGGGAGCCTTTCTTATGACCAGTATCCTGAAGCTGGGCCGGAGCACCCTGCCATCTGCAACCCTCAACTCAAACAGGCTGGCTCAAGGGTGTCTCTCTTTAAATACACGCCACCGTGGAAGGTCTTCTGTGCAGCTCTGGGGTCCAAGTTGCAGGTAAGAAGACGAAGATCAAAGTGTGTCTATTAGCAGATTCCTCCAAAGTGTGTTTGTTTATATCTCACCTGTATCACCTTTTCAAATAACTCAAGGCAGCAAACATTCGACACAATAATTCTGTGAGGAGGGTTGGTCTGAGAGAGAGAGCGACTGGCCCAAAGTCACCCAACTGGCTTTCCTGGCTAAAGCGGGATTTGAACTCACAATCTCCTGCTATCTAGCCTGCTGTCTTCACCACCAGACCAAACTGACTCTCCGTTTTCATTAGTTTGAAGTTTGAATGGTGTTGAAGGAAACCAGCGGTGCTTATAGAAGGGGGTTGGAGGGTGTCGCTAAGAAAGCTACTTCATATGAGCATTACTTGAAAATCTTTTTTTTAAAACTCTGTGTGTGTGTGTGTGTTTAATTAACTCTGTTTAATTTTGATCAAATTTAAATCTGAGTTAGATTATATCATTGTTGGTATGGTCCACTTCTTTGTCCTGGCCATGCCCACTTTGGGGGATGCTATTCTGACTACTACTCTCTCCCTGCTGCCTTCCAGAGTGCAGGGTTGGCACTGATCCCATCTTAGCCTCCCAAGAGTCCTGTGAGGTAGATTCTTCCTGTTTTCTGGGTGTTTCTCTTTTTCCATGTTGGAGCCAGGCGGAATGATAAATTGTTGTTCATCATTCAGAATTCTCTAAAGCAGGGGTGTCAAACTCACGGCCTGCGGGCCGGATGCATCAGGTGCTGGCCCTGCCCCCACCTAGTTTAGCGAAGGGGAAAAAAGTCCCAATATGTCACATGACGCCACCGTGAGGAGTTTGACACAGAGGTGGTATTCAGCAGGTTCTGACCACTTCTGGAGGACCGGTAGCGGACATTTTGAGTAGTTAGGAGAACCGGCAAATACCGCCTCTGACTGGCCCCGCCCCCATCTATTCTCTGCCTCCCGAATCCCAGCTGATCGGCTGGCTCTTCTTTTGTTGCCCTGCACAGAAGAATGGAGCTGGAAAGCAGGCTAGTGGGGTGGGGAGGGAATGGGGATTTTACAGTATCCTTCCCCTGCCACGCCCACCAAGCCACGCCCACAGAACCAGTAGTAAAAAAATTTGAATCCCACCACTGGTTTGACACCCCTGCTCTAAAGTGTTAAAAAGTAATAGTAGTTTTAAATAACAGTTGAAGGACTAGGTTTGATGAGACATTGTCGAAGTTTCCTAGATGCTTAAAGCATCCATCTGTCAGATATGCCCACCTGGATCTGGCTGTTAGGTATGGAGGTATTCAGAGAGGGAATTCTCATTCCTATATTGGGGAATAACGTTCTTATATGATTGTTCACTAGCAGTGATTCCTCAGGATAGACTGCTTCAAAGCATGCAGGTTCTAATCCAACCATCTGGTAGAATCCCACCCGTTTGAAGGGTTCCTAAGCAACCGGTTGTAAACCAAGGACTACCTGTAGTCAAATAGAAGCCTCTAGGAAGCACACCGGCATGGTTTTAAACCTGAGGGTCCTTTCATCCAATCTTGATTGCCATTGTTGAATTCTGCCTTTGTTGGGGGGAGCTGAGACCCGATTATACAAGCACACATCCCATTTTATTCTTACAATAAACCTAGAAAAAGTCACTTTGAACCAGTGACCTAATTGATCACTGAGCACGCATTGCAACCCGAATAAAGGTGGCATTGTTTTCCTTTCAGGACACTGGCTGAACTCTATAGATGGGTTTCCTAATGAAACTGAGTAATCTTGCTGCATTGTTGAGGTGTGGGTCTAGTCCAGTGTTTCTCCATCTTAGTCATTTTAAGATGCATGGATTTCAGCTTCGGAGAATTCTGGGAGTTGACGTCCACACGTCTTAAAATGGTTAAGGTTGAGAAATGCTGGCCTAAAAAGCCACTTGCTGCTCCTTGACTCAAGGGAGGCATCAGCTTTTCAGTGATGCCAGTTCTTAATGCAATCCACAGTCTACTTAATTGCTGTTCAATTGCTTCCAACCAGAAGTATCTGCTAGGTGGGGTAAAAAAACAAACCAAGATGGTGGCCACAATCATGTGATCAAAACCTTGCTCTTTTTATGTGTGTCATAACACACCTAAAGAAAGGACAGGGCTTCGATTACATGATTGTGGTCAAGGTTTTTATTTTCTTGATGTATATAAAAAAGCTGGCTGAGGAACTCTGGGAGTTGAAGTCCACAAGTGTTAAAGTTGCCAAGGTTGGAGGCCCCCGCTGTAGTATATTGTAAACCATTCTAGCTGTCTAAATTCAGCTCCCAGAGTAGCTTCTTGTTCACTGTAAAAGTTCCTCCAAAGTATAACCAGATGTTTTGGCCCATCTCATAATCATCATATATTCCCCATTTTAGTGATATCTATACCATCAAAGGACTTACTCTAGTTACAGAAACCTCCTCAGCAATATGTGGCAGCGGCCAAAAAAAAAAAAAAAAGCTGATACAACCCTTGTCCCAAAGGTGCTTTTTCAGGAGGCAACTTCTTGTTTTTTCTTTGGAAGATGTTTTGCTTCTCCTCCAAGAAGCTTCTTTAGTTCTGACAGGATAGTGGGGAATGGAAAGTCCAGTTGCCTCTTGGAGAAAAAAAAAAAAGCACCTTTGGGATATCCTGTCAGAGCTGAAGAAGCTTCTTGGAGGAGAAGGGAAACAGCTCCAAAAGAAAAAACAAAAAAGTCTAGTTTTTTTTCCTGAAAAAGCACCTTTGGGACAACTATGACCTGGATGACTGAGGATCAGTGCTGCTATTCTACCAGGTTGGGCCTGGTTCTGGCGTACTGGTAGTGTTAAAGATCAGCTGAAACCGGACCAGCTCTCTCTGATGAGCTGCTGTTGGGCCAGCCTGCCCGGGCTCCCATACTGACCTTTATTTCCTGCTTTTGAAGCGCAGCTGTTTGCGCGGCATGGCAGGTTGCCATGTGTCAGCTGCTGAAGCTACACGGAGGGTGCAGGTTTGCAGGAAGTGAGTAGGAAAGTCTTTGCGTATGTGGAAAGTGCGCATTTGGCACGCACACGCAAAGTAGGTGCGTGCACACAAAACGCGCCCACCGAGCCACGCCCACCGAACCGGTGGTAACCTTACTTTGAAACCCACCAGGATGGCTGAGCATCTCTACAGACTGATACAATCCTTGCTTGTATAAATAGAGACATAGAATCAAAATCACGTGAAGTATTAGTACCGCTTTACAAATCCTTAGTAAGGCTACCCCTGGAATACTGCATCCAGTTTTGGTCACCATGTTACAAAAAAAAGATGTTGACATTTTGGGAAAAGTGCAAAGAAGAGCAACTAAGATGATCAAGGGTCTGGAAACAAAAGCATATGAAGACCAAAACATATGTAGGTATTGGGTTGGTATGGCCAGTCTAGATAAAAGAAGGACTAGGTGGGGGACATCATAGCAGTATTCCAGTATTTGAGGGGCTGCCACAAGGAAGAGGGAATCAACTTATTTTCCAAAGCACCAAAAGGCAGGACAAGAAACAATGGTTTGAAATTAATCAAGGAGAGAAGCCACGTGGAATTGAAGAGAAACTTCCGAACAGTGAGAACAATTAACCAGTGGAACTTCTTGCCTTCAGAGGTTGTGGGTGCTGCATCACTGGAGGTTTTTAAGAAAAGACTGGACGGCCACCTGTCAGAAATGATGTAGGATCTCCTGCTTGAGCAGAGAATTGGACTAGAAGACCTCCAAGGTCCCTTTCGGCTCTATTCTGATTGATTGATCCTACATCCCTTCTGTGATTACTTCTTGGTAAACCTCTACATGGTACAACACTGGGTTACATCAGGCAAATGCCTCCCCAGAACTAAAAAGGCTTGTCTGGTCTGAACATCTTGTAAGGGTTTGTTGAGGATCCTCATCTCTCAAGACAGTGTTTCTAAATCTTGGCAGCTTGAAGATGTCTGGACTTCCACTCCCAGAATTCCCCAGCCACAGCATTTTTCCACCCCCAGCCAGCAATTCTGGGAGTTGAAGTCCACACATCTTCAAGCTGCCAAGGTTGGGTTCATTGCTTGAGAGAAGCAAGCAGTTTAGGGTAAATAACAGGTTTTGTCAGCAACAGCCTTCCCCTCTCTTTGAAACGAGCTATTTCTGGAAGCATTGCTTCTGGTGGGGCAAAGTGAGGCAGCAGGGCTTGGTGCCAAATTTTGAAAAGTAATGGCATTGCCTTTTGGTGCCACTCTGGCTGACTGTCTTAGGCTTGTTATTCATGCTCCGTTATTCATCACTCAAAGTCTGATCAGATTGGAGTGTGGGCAAAGATTATTCATAAATGTTTCTACCTGAGTTGCTGGAAGTGGATGCTACAATATTAAGAGTGTTTGTAAGAGAGAGCCTGAATGTGTGAACAATGCAATCATGAGAAGTAGTTGGTGTATCTCTTAATGGCAGAGGTCCCCAAACTTGGCAACTTTAAGACTTGTGGACTTCAACTCCACAAGCCTCAAAGTCAGAGGTGGTATTCAGCAGGTTCTGACCAGTTCTGGACAACCGGTAGCGGAAATTTTGAGTAGTTTGGAGAACCGGCAAATCCCACCTCTGACTGGCCCCGACCCCATCTATTCTCTGCCTCCCGAGTCCCAGTTGATCGGCTGGGTCTTCTTTTGTTGTCCTGCACAGGAGAACAGAGCTGGAAAACAGGTTAGTGGGGTGGGGAGGGAATGGGATTTTGCAGTAACCTTCCCCTGCCACGCCCACCAAGACACGCCCACCAAGACACGACATGCCCACCAAACCACGCCCAAAGAACCAGTAGTACAAAAAATTGAATCCCACCAGTGCTTAAAGTTGCCAAGTTTGGGGACCTCTGTCTTACGGGTTGCAGTGAAACTAGGAGACCTCACCTGAACTATATCTTCAACTATGGGAGTTAAGTTTTATGCTCAGGTGTTCATGCAACTCTTATCCCCAAACCTATTAAATCTATTAAAGAGTCTAGCAGCTGCTTTCTCATATTAAACACATTAATCCTCAAGTTATGATC